ACAAACAGTAAAATAAAATTTTATATCTAATCTACTTCTGAGATCAACTGAAAACATGATTTTTTAAAAAGAAATTATATATTCTCAACAAACATTACAGATCTCGATAGATCCGTACTATAATCGCCATATTCAACCATTTTCTTATGATTCATTGATATATGTTAGCAAAATATGGACGACAAGAAAATATAAATCGACTTCTGAAGTTAATTGAAAATACGATTATATAGAAAAAATAAAAAAATCATAAATTCTTAACAAAAATTACAGATCTTGGTAGATTCGTACTATAATCACCCGATTGAAACATTTTCTTATGATTCATTGAAGCATTTTAGCCAAATAGGGACGACAACCTTAAATCAAAACAAAAACTTTCAGATCTTGATAGATATATTATGTAATCGGACGATTTGCACTTTTTACTATGATTTAGTAAAACGAGATTGTAAAATCGGAATGATTTTGATGTTATATCTCGGTTTTGTTTGAATTTTTTTTCAAAAAAAAAAAATAGAATCTGATTGAAATATCTGACCAAAAAAACAAAGAAAATGGCATGATTATCGACAAAATTTGATAAGAAAAATGAGATCTTGGATATTTTTGACCGAAAAAAATGCGTGGTTCGCCGATATGATTTGGTAAAGCCAAAAAAAAATGTTTAAGTTGAACCCAATAGACTTATTGAGAATATCGGCCCAAGCTACATTTATAAGTTATTGAGGAATTTACACTCCATATCAAATTTCTTTATATTACAGATATACATTCAATATATATTTATTTACAAATTTACCACATGTACCATAATTATTTGTACATATACCAGAGTTTTAATATCTGTCAAATTATAGAATGTTATAATCAATGATTTTCTCCTTAATTATTGGAACAAACCTCTCCATATCCAATTTCACGCCAACAACTCGCTCGTCTCCTTCACCTCCGAGATCCCCCAAACCGCGATGTGCAACTACCCTAGTTTATGCATCTGCAGGTCGTATCTATCCTCTCCTGCAAGGGTCGATGTGAGTGTGCTTCTATAGATGAAGTGTATTTAGATCTTGAAGCTTCAGGAACATTGTTAGCAGAAGCTCTTAAATCTCATGTGTTGGGTCTTGATTTGGTAGGAGGATTTGTATATTTTTTTGGTGATCACTAACAACAACATTTTTTTT